CGTGCTAGAGCCCACGAACCGTGCTAGAGCCCACGTACCGTGCTAGAGCCCACGTACCGTGCTAGTGCCCACGTACCGTGCTAGAGCCCAAGATACCGTGCTAGTGCCCATGTTCCGTGCTAGTGCCCACGTTCCGTGCTAGTGCCCACGTACCGTGCTAGAGCCCACGAACCGTGCTAGAGCCCACGTACCGTGCTAGAGCCCACGAACCGTGCTAGAGCCCACGTACCGTGCTAGAGCCCACGTACCGTGCTAGTGCCCACGTACCGTGCTAGTGCCCACGTACCGTGCTAGAGCCCAAGATACCGTGCTAGTGCCCACGAACCGTGCTAGAGCCCACGTACCGTGCTAGAGCCCACGTACCGTGCTAGTGCCCACGTACCGTGCTAGAGCCCAAGATACCGTGCAAGAGCCCACGTACCGTGCTAGTGCCCAAGATACCGTGCTAGTGCCCACGTTCCGTGCTAGTGCCCACGTACCGTGCTAGTGCCCACGTACCGTGCTAGTGCCCACGTTCCGTGCTAGAGCCCACGTTCCGTGCTAGTGCCCACGTACCGTGCTAGTGCCCACGTTCCGTGCTAGAGCCCACGTTCCGTGCTAGAGCCCACGTTCCGTGCTAGTGCCCACGTACCGTGCTAGTGCCCACGTACCGTGCTAGTGCCCACGTTCCGTGCTAGTGCCCACGTTCCGTGCTAGAGCCCACGTACCGTGCTAGAGCCCACGTTCCGTGCTAGAGCCCACGTACCGTGCTAGAGCCCACGTACCGTGCTAGAGCCCACGTTCCGTGCTAGAGCCCACGTACCGTGCTAGAGCCCACGTACCGTGCTAGAGCCCACGTTCCGTGCTAGAGCCCACGTACCGTGCTAGAGCCCACGTACCGTGCTAGAGCCCACATTCCGTGCTAGAGCCCACGTACCGTGCTAGTACCCACATACTGTGCTAGTGCCCACATACCGTGCTGGTAATTACCTAAGTGTAATTACCTAAGTGTAATTACCTAAGTGTAGTTACAGGATGAGAGCTACGCTCGTGGTGTCCCGTCTTCCCAGCACTCTTTGTCATATAACGCTTTGAAACTACTGACGGTCTTGGCCTCCACCACCTTCTCACTTAACTTGTTCCAACTGTCTACCACTCTATTTGCGAAGGTGAATTTTCTTATATTTCTTCGGCATCTGTGTTTAGCTAGTTTAAATCTATGACCTCTTGTTCTTGAAGTGCCAGGTCTCAGGAAATCTTCCCTGTCGATTTTATCAATTCCTGTTACTATTTTGTATGTAGTGATCATATCACCTCTTTTTCTTCTGTCTTCTAGTTTTGGCATGTTTAATGCTTCCAACCTCTCCTCGTAGCTCTTGCCCTTCAGTTCTGGGAGCCACTTCGTAGCATGTCTTTGCACCTTTTCCAGTTTGTTGATGTGCTTCTTAAGATATGGGCACCACACAACAACTGCATATTCTAGCTTTGGCCTAACAAAAGTCATGAACAATTTCTTTAGTATATCGCCATCCATGTATTTAAATGCAATTCTGAAGTTAGAAAGCATCGCATAGGCTCCTTGCACAATATTCTTTATGTGGTCCTCAGGTGATAGTTTTCTATCTAGAACCACCCCTAGATCTCTTTCTTTATCAGAATTCTTTAAAGATTTCTCACATAATATATAGTTTGTGTGGGGTCTATGTTCTCCTATTCCACATTCCATAACATGACATTTATTAACATTAAATTCCATTTGCCAGGTGGTGCTCCATATACTTATTTTGTCCAGGTCTTCTTGAAGGGCATGACAATCATCTAAATTTCTTATCCTTCCTATTATCTTAGCATCATCAGCAAACATGTTCATATAATTCTGTATACCAACTGGTAGATCATTTATGTACACAATAAACATCACTGGTGCAAGAACTGAACCCTGTGGTACTCCACTTGTGACATTTCTCCATTCCGATACATTGCCTCTGATTACTGCCCTCATTTTTCTATTAGTCAGAAAATTTTTCATCCATGATAGAAGCTTACCTGTCACCCCTCCAATATTTTCCAGTTTCCAGAACAACCTCTTATGTGGAACTCTGTCGAAAGCCTTTTTTAGGTCCAGATAGATGCAGTCAACCCAACCATCTCTTTCCTGTAATATCTCTGTGGCTCGATCATAGAAACTGAGTAAATTCGATACACAGGATCTTCCAGATTGAAAACCATACTGTCTGTCTGATATTATATCATTTCTCTCCAGGTGTTCTACCCATTTAGTTTTGATTAGCTTTTCCAATACTTTCACTATTACACTTGTCAATGATACAGGTCTATAATTGAGGGGGTCTTCCCTGCTGCCACTTTTGTAGATTGGAACTATGTTAGCCTGTTTCCACACGTCTGCTATGATTCCTGTACACAGGGATGCCTGAAAGATCAGGTGAAGTGGAATGCTGAGCTCAGATGCACATTCTCTCAGAACCCATGGTGAAACGCCATCTGAGCCAGCTGCTTTGTTCTTCCCGAGCTCCTTTAGCATATTTTCCACTTCATCTCTAGACACCTCTATCCGCTCTATGTTGTTCTCTGGAATTCTTATTGTGTCTGGTTCTCTGAATATTTCATTTTGTACAAACACACATTGGAACTTTTCATTTAACACTTTCGCTCGGGGATGACGCAGCATTGCGTCATCCGTTTACTGGCGGTAATGCCGGGGATGACGCAGCATTGCGTCATCCACTTTAAAAATTCGCCAAAAATCAGGTTTTTATCTGATTTTTTGGGGACTGGTTTTAAAATGTGCGCCGATGTCTTCCCATTTTCTTTGTTGAGCCTCGTGGCCCTCAGGCGGCTTGGCACACCCCGTGGGCCCATTGTCTTTGCTCCACTGTTGTGACCAATGTCGCCTCCCCTCGCATCTCAAACGTGTGAACATTTCGGCTATTTCCCGTGGCTATATTTCTTACTGCGGCTTTAGAAACTATCTACGCTTACTCCACGATGGATAGTAATCATGAACAAGGCCCTTCCAGGAAGAAAATTGCGAAAGAAAGGCTTGAAAAGGGTGGGAATTTGGAGTGTAGCAAGAAGGCCTCTGAGCACTCACTCACGGCTAACGCGTGGCCCGTCTTCAACTCGTCGGCGGTTGGAGCGTGACCAGGTTTTTTTTTTATATGCTAATGTTCCTCTAGAGAATTTTATTACGAACCCATTGAGACCAAAATGAAAGACCTAGGACAAAAATTGAGGTGACCAGAGTGAAAATAGTGAAAACATTTTATCCCGTTTGCGCGCTCCCGGGTAACTCGTTCGCACTTTCTCTGTTTGCTGCGGGTAATTAGCCGGGCTTTTGGAGTTTATATGCATTTAGTGCTGTAGAGAATTTTATTGCGAACACAATGATACCAAATTTTATCTCGTAGAGGGAGAATTGAGGTGACAAAGTTGAAGAGAGTATACACTTTTCGGAATTAACGCGCGCTTCCATGACACGCTGGGGCCCATATCGCCCTGTCGAGGGGTGGCGCGCGGGGTGAGCGAAAGTGTTAATGTTTCACACATTTCCTTTTCATTTTCCATGAATCTGTTTCCCATTTTCAACCTCTGGATATTATCCTTTACCTGCAATTTGTTGTTTATGAATTTGTAGAATAGGCCCGGTTCTGTTTTACATTTATCTGCTATCCCTTTTTCAAAATTTCTTTCTGCCTCTCTCCTTACTGCTGTATAGTTGTTTCTCGCATCTTTGTATTGCTGGTATGTTTGGGGGTTTGGCCTCTTCCTATACTGATTCCATTTTTGTCTCTTTTGGTCTCTTGCCCTCTCACAATTTCTGTCGAACCAATCCTGTTTTCTGGCCCTGCATCTCTGTTTTGGTATGAATGTTTGTGTGCCTTCCTCGTATAGTTTTAAAAATTTGGCATACATTTTATTTACTTCCCTGCCTAGCAACAATTCTGTCCAATTACACTCATTAAAAAAATTTCGAAGTTCCCCATAGTTGACTCTCCTTAAATCGAGTTTATCAACTGTTTCAATGTCCCCATTTTCTTCTAGATGATATCTTAAAGCATATTTAATGTCTAACAGGACGTGATCACTCTTTCCCAAGGGAGGAAGGTACTGGATGTCAAAAATCTCTTCTTCTTTCCTGGTGAATACTAGATCCAGTACTGACGGTACATCTCCTTCCCTCATTCTTGTGGCTTGCTTTATGTGTTGATACAAGAATGTCTCCAGAATGAGGTTCACAAATCTGCATGTCCAAAAGTCCTCCGTTCTTGCTTCATAGGCCTCCCAGTCTATTGCTCTAAAGTTGAAGTCCCCCAGTATCAACAGTCGTGATTTATCTTTATCTGCTTGTACAATAATATCTGTCATGACCATTATGAGGCCCTCTCGTTTGTCATCCAGTTCTTCCTTTGTCCATGTGTTGCTTGCTGGTGGGCTGTAGGTATTTACAATTATCAGCTTATCATCCTGATTCCAGACCTGCAATGCCATTATGTCAATATCTCGAGGGTTTTCAAATATTAACTCTTTTACCTTCAGAAAATATTAATGTGATATATCAAAGAACAAATCCGTTCGAACCTATGTACTGAATGTTCCCAGACGCGCTTTAGTCAACTGTGCCACCACATGGTTGTTGCCCAATATACCGTGCTAGTACCCACATAGTGCCCAACATACCGTGCTAGTGCCCAACATACCGTGCTAGTGCCCAACATACCGTGCTAGTGCCCAACATACCGTGCTAGTGCCCAACATACCGTGCTAGTGCCCAACATACCGTGCTAGTGCCCAACATACCGTGCTAGTGCCCAACATACTGTGCTAGTGCCCACATACCGTGCTGGTGCCCAACATACCCCACATACGCTCTCTCAGAGGCCGCGTGTTGCTTACAACTTGAAAAACAAAACACTGCAACAGTGCTGCCAACCGCACGACACACGCACACCTTCACCTCATCCACACATCTCTCACCCACACATTACTCACACATTACTTACCCATCTCTCAACAATTTACATTTCAGGAGATGCGTTTGGAAACTAATAAAGACTGCGGTGTTCTTGAGCAAACAGTAGATAAGATAGCTGAGGTCGGGTACGAATATTCTCCGAGCTGGTAAAAACGCAAAGACCTTTAGTGTAATATTTAAATATATATTTCTACTAATTATATTATTAAATAGCTTCAACAAAAATTCAACATTAGAAAATACTTTCAAATTTAGTAAAACAAAAAAATGTAAATTCAGTAGCGAAACTCTATATCGGTATGCTCCCTCGTCCCGGGTATTTAAATGTAACAGTTTTTACAATAAATATAATATTAAAAAATAGCAATAATATATTTTGTATAGTAAATATAAAGGATCGAGTAACTGATGTTACTTAGTAGGTCGTACGTAGCAACTGAAATTAAAATTGAAATTGAAATAAGTTTATTGAGGTAAAATACACATAAAGGGATGAGGTAGCTCAAGGTATTCTCACCCCGTTTAGGTAGCAATGGTTATGGGAAACAGTTGCGAGGATGGTGCCGCAGACCTTCACTATGTAATTATTAAAAGAAGGCACTCAGCAGGAATGACTATATAACACCATTAATGTCACTGGAGGTTCAAAATGTAAAGTAAAAGAGCCAGAGGAGCCAATCCTGCATCACCAACACCGGTCACTTCTGGCAGAACTTTGCCATGTCTGGACAACTGACGATTTGTCCGGATAACACAAACTGGCAGAGTCTAAATCACGTCCGGATAATTGTATGGGAAACTTCACCATATCTGGACAGAAATGTGGATTTGGGAAGATAACTGAAAAGGGCATTGAGCCATATTGTATTAATCCCGTACAGCAATGGCTGAAGGAGCGGGGTATGGGGGGGTGTCATGGTAGGGTGGGGGATGAGAGACATGTGGAGGGACCATCTGGGGATGAGAGACATGTGGAGGGACCATCTGGGGATGAGAGACATGTGGAGGGACCATCTGGGGATGAGAGACATGTGGAGGGACCATCTGGGGATGAGAGACATGTGGAGGGACCATCTGGGGATGAGATACATGTGGAGGGACCATCTGGGGATGAGAGACATGTGGAGGGACCATCTGGGGGATGAGAGACATGTGGAGGGACCATCTGGGGATGAGAGACATGTGGAGGGACCATCTGGGGGATGAGAGATATGTGGAGGGACCATCTGGGGATGAGAGACATGTGGAGGGACCATCTGGGGATGAGACATGTGGAGGGACCATCTGGGGATGAGACATGTGGAGGGACCATCTGGGGGATGAGAGATGTGGAGGGATCTGGGGGATGAGAGATATGTGGAGGGACCATCTGGGGATGAGAGACATGTGGAGGGACCATCTGGGGATGAGACATGTGGAGGGACCATCTGGGGGATGCGACACATGGAAGGACAGTCTGGGGGGATGAGAGGCATATGGAGGGGCCTTTGTTTAGTGTATAATAAATTTGTATTAAAACAGTTCATTACACTAAAAAAAATTATATTATAAACAAACATTTTTAATGAGGAAACTTAAAGATGAATACCTGTACATGAAATACATAGTGAACAGTGAGAGTGAGCAGAGGGTGTAATACAAGTAGTTTGAAGCCTGCACAAAATGTACTGTTGGATGAGGCTAATGTATAAACGGTTTGCACAGCACTGCACAGCTGGTGTTACAATTAGCAATGCAGAAATATTGAGTGCTGCAAGCAAGTTTGTAGCCAGCCTTAGAATACAGGATTTTAGGCCAAGTGATGGTTGGATGTCAAGGTTTAAAGTGAAGCACAATATTGTGAAGAGGAAAAGTGAAGCCTTAACAGAAAGCAAAGAGCCTTCAACCAGCTTCAGCAGCTGGCAGTCAAAAGTGACCTTGTCAAGCTCATGTGGAGTAATTTAAGTGCTGTGTTAAGCTAGGTTCTATAAATTGTCAAGAACTATACATTTCAAGTATCAAGATCTACAGTATCATTCAAAAAGACTAACTATAACAAGGCAAGCTGAAATTTTTGTTTTAAATAATATTTTTGAATTATAGTGTGCAGAAATTCAAATTATGTTGGGTGGTACAAAAAAATTTTGAGTATGTTTATTTGAGGACTTTCCCAGACAAGCAGGACTTCCTACTGGAAATGGGTCCTTCCCATATAGTTTGGATAAACAAATGTAGTCAGTATATGAGCAACTATTGAAGGGACTGATACTAACTCCATAATGCCCACTTGACACTATTACTAACCAGGTGAACTAACTACAGGAGCAGATTGTTTCAGGTAGGCCACACCACCTTCAATTTTACTCCTACCCATCCTCCTCCTACAGGGACTCACAGCTGCTGGGTAGGCTCTACCACCAGTTGAAGGAACAATGGGAATACAGTACATGGTCTACATGCACAGAACAGTGTAATTTGCTTGAGCAGGAGCCACCCTCCCCACCAACCCACAAGTGATGCACTAAAGCCTCTTTCACCTTATCAAGGAACCACCATTGAAGGGAATTTAAAGTAAAACAATCTAATAGACAATATTAAGCGTGTTCCTGATGGCGCGTCTAGGTTATAGGTCAAACTGGTGACCCGAGTACAGCCAGATCTCCCCCCCCCCTTTCACCACAACTAAAATCGCTTGGATTAAGTGACAAACTCCCAAAATTTTCAGATAATTTATTTTATGAAATGAGCAGTTAATTACATACTTGAACATAAATACACATCCACACACTTTCATTCACATTGTGAATTTCATATCCCTTATATGTAAATGAAACTGATACAACATTTAACAGCTGAACACTTCAACTTCTTTTACAATAAATAATACTCCATACACAGTGAGTGCAGTTCAACTGTGGCAAGTGACAGCTCAGTGTGACAAGACATTACCACCTATCACATATATAGTGCCCTTTCTTTACCAATAATAATAATAATGATGTCCTATGAATGCTACTGCAAAAGTTCTGATAATTGAAAGGGCTAGTCATTTACATTATCAAAGTATTTATCATTAAGTGCCAATTGCCAACTGTTTCAGAGGATACAAAAGCTTTTCTAGATCAGCATTTGGGATGCTAATATTTCAATTCTGTAATGTTAATATGCTCAAAGTGTGCAGACATCAATATAAATATTGACCCTTTTAACGTGCCTTACAGCTGACTTATGACGTACAACTGGTATGGACATCATATCCCATGTATACTTTGTTTTAAACAAATTGTGCAACCAAAATTTTGAATTTATAAAAATACTGCAGTTGCAATGGTAAACATTGATGTCTTGGTCTATTCACCAAGAGGATTTGGTGTGTGACATCTGTATTGTCTTGCCAATATAAAGAAAAGTTACCTACAATTTACAACTGAATTTACATCCAGTAAATTCAAACCTATGATCACCTTGTCTAGACTTCTTGTAGTGAATATCAGTTAGTTAGACGAGGTTACACTTATAAAAGACCAGATGTTAACTCGATTATATAAATGAAAACTAAAATTAGACACTTAAAAGTCCAACACTTGGTAAACTTTCTTAAATGGTTACAGTTGAATGTGGAATACCAATCAAGTTCATGCTTTAAGTAAGTCTCTTTACATTCCACTTGTGCACACTTACTACAGAAAATTACTACTGGTATTATAATATGGATAGTACAGTACTCTACTATCTTTACATTCCACTTGTGCTCATTTGCTACAGAAAAATACTACTGGTATTACAACACGGAGAGTACCCAACATTGTGCTCGTGTGCTACAAAAAGCAATTTCAGAACCTTGCTCATCTGCACTGTCAATCTTGTATTTCATAAAGCACTATTAATTCAATGGAAAGAAGAAATAGCAATAGTAGTATAGATTACAAGGTAAAGGATAAAGCCTAGTACAGTATGGAAGGAAATTGGTAGGGATTCGAACAAGGCATATTTATTGCCAGAAAAGGCATTTCCTACTTATATAACTTATAAGGTAAGGAGGAATTTAAAAGGGCATGATAAGTGGAAAAACTGAACTTGTAGTATGAGTGAGAATGAACAGGCAAGTGGAAAAACAAAGGGAGGCTATACTTTTGAAGCACTTCCACACAAGTGGTAGTTCAGTGTGACAACTCTATTAAAATATAAATGCCAATTTTGTCACTGGCCAGAGCAATACATTGTAGTGTGGTTCTATTCCAGAAATGAGACTTGAGCAGATTAACACTGCAGTCTACACATCTTTTAAGGGATGTTAACAAGCACAGAGGAAACTACCTAAAGGATGTACATAAAGTATGTTAGCTACTTTTTAATAAGAGATTTTTCTGGCTACCAATTTAGGACTCATTACCTCGTGTACACCTGTGTATAAATATGTGCGCTTTTATAATTTCCAAATTGTATTCCTCTAAAACTTGAGTTTTAATTCAGATGTACATTAGGAATACTTTCAAGGCTATGAGAACCTCAGTTTACTGTATATCCAACTTGTCATCCGAGGAAACACCATTACCTTTTCTATTCCCACAATGTGCTAGCAATATGTAGCAAAATTAAAAATTCCCCACACTTCCTTTACATTCTTATAAAAATTCCTTAAATATTTATGACGGTATGGAATATTTCAACATAAAAGGGACAATTTCACATGGAATGTGACCAACCCATTAAATAATTAAGTTGGAAGGAAGAAAAAAGTATATTTGCAAAGTTACAAAAATTTTAACAAATTCAGGTAAATGGGTAAATTAAAAAATATAAATGATTAATGAATATTTATGTTAGCAATTCATACTTTAATCCCCATTTCAGGACAAAATATAATATAAGCTGTATTTCTAGTTCTGTTTTGGCATTATATCATGATTTCCTACAGACCACAGGACCCAACTTTGGCTTTCAGCTTGGAACACTTCAATATACTGAAGCCAACTAATCTTTATCATTTAGAACACTAGTTGTACAAGTCTTAAAAATGCATGTCATACTTTATCAAAACAAGGTAACAATTAACATTTTTGATATCTAAATCTGTGTTTACTAAAAGATCAGATCTATTCTGGATTTATTATCTTATAAGAACCTCGTGAGTATAGCACATTACAACATGTTCAAGAGTAACTCTGGAAAAATAGTATTTTAATTAATAATCCATTTTCTAAAATATCTAAATTTTTATTTTTATGTTTGGAAAAGTCTACTGATGAACCACACTTCTACAAAGATAATGTGTGATAAAGTTGGAGACATGCAAATGTTAATCTAATTGGACAGACATCATTAAAGACTGGAATTTTATGATTCACAAACTTGGTTCAGTAAGAGGAAGAAAAAGAGGGAAATATTCAGATTTATATATAAATGTCTTTGCTAGATACCGATGCTCCAAACTTAACGTTATTAGAATCTTTAATGGTATAGAAACATTTGAATGTTTGCACTCTCATGTTTAAGGGCAATACCCCCACCCCCTACATGAAATTAAGAATCCTGGGTTATACTCATGTCTTAAGAATATTTTCTATAGTTACTCAAGAGGTAGGTTTGTCACCCCAAATCAAGACACGGTTTTAACACCTTCACATTTGGTTGAAATAAGAGATCCAATTATTTTCCAAGTCACAACATAATCTCTATTCCAAGTTTAAGGGGTTCACTTGAACTTGACAGAAGTATTACAACTGGGATAAAGGTTCAAGTGACGACCAGTCAGAGATGATTAGTGAACAAGCCTCATCACAATTCAGAGTGACTTTTCTCATTATCTGCAATAAAAAAAATAATACTGTAAATATAATAATAATAATAATAATAATAATAATAATAATAATAATAATAATAAATAATAATAATAAGACAAAATACAATAGAAAATTAAAATCTTAAAAGTCCAAAAACATTTATAATGCAAAGTAAAAAAAAATAAAAAAATGTAAATGCACATATACAGTACATATGAACAAAAGAGAACTGTTGCAACTTTCAAACCCAGGGCCCAAACACACCTGATGTCTGGCGGCCGAGTGAACAGCATGTGGAGGATTAAAGTGACAAAAGCTGAGGACACGTAGGACCATGTTAAATCTGGGTAATTCATCCAGTAGGGGCGGGGAAGAGCTGGGGAACACAATTAAAGTTTGGCTCCAGTCTTTAGAGAAATTCTTAAATATACAAGACAGAACCTGACTATCTCCAACACTAGAGCGACAACAATACACGAGGAAAAATTAACTAGACCAGGACCTGTGCCAAATCTGATTTGTTGCAATCCATATTATCATCAAGAAACCAGCATTGAATGTAATGAAATGTCATTTTCTGGGCGAGCCCTGGAGGCTTCCTGAAGCTATCCGAATTGATATGTGGTATATTAGTTTGGGATCATCAGTCACAGGAGTTCTTATGCCTACTGAGAACCACAAGCCATAACCTGGTCCCCTTAGAGGCGCAGGGAGCAATAGCCTATGAACACTTTACATTTAAATTCCGTCACAATTGCCATCGACCAGGGAAGGGCCCAGAAAGGTAGATGAATCAAAACGAACCATTGACTGGTTAACCTGTGCAATCTACATCCAAAAATATAAAAATAACTTCCCTAGAGAGAAACCAAACAAGCAACCCTACATGCAACGAGCCCTTCCACTCATTAGCATCATCCCACCTCCCCTATCGGGAGGGAACGAGAAGCCTGCTCACTGTTGCCGGCAGCCCATCACTCCAGTTCTTGAACGATGAAAAAATGCCGACTGGAGGGAGGGTGGACGTCAGGAAGCCTCCGGGGCTCACCCAGAAATGGTGTTTCATTAGATTCAATGTTGGTTTTCTGTGAGGAGCCCTATTGACTCCCTGAAGCCAACTACTCAAAGATAAGTAAAAGGAAGGACTTGCCCAGGAGGCGGCAGCACCGCAGGTCTCAAGAAGAAGCAAGACAGCCGCAACAGGTGTTCCAAAGCAACACATGGCCGGGAAGGAATCTGAACTTTCACTAGCCACCTGGCGGCCAGGACATGGTTCGACCTCCAAAACTTCCAGGCCCGAATGTGTACCCAAGAGATGCTGCCAAAAACGGCTGAGAGAGCAGCATACTTCCAAACATCATGGGCATGAGGGTACACAGCAGGCTGGCTGGAATCAATGACACTGCGGACAACCTGAGACACAGGAGCCCTAGGGGCTCCAGGGAAAGCGGCTCCACCCAAAGAACGTCCACCGTCACAGAACCAGTAGCCCCCAGGTAGCAGCATAAAGCCACCACCAGACAAGTGATGCACCCCTAGTGTAACAACCAAGTATCCACAACCAACAAACCCCTCCAGAAGCCCGCTGTCTCATTCTTCTCGAGAAAAGAAGGAGAAGGCTGCAAACGAACAAAACGACCACCTGGACCAAATGAACAGAAAACCCCCTAGCGTAGGAGAAGAGAATGAAGTTCCCCAACCCAAATCCCGGAGGCAAAGGCCAATAAAAACAAAGGCCTTCCAAAAGCAATCCCTAAGGGAAGGGGCCACAAAAAGCGAGGAGAAGAAAGAAAAGAAAGAACACGGTCCAAAGACCAAGAAGGCTCGGGCGGCGCATGAGCCAACTGATCAACATGTAAAATGAGAATACACATGCGCTAAAAAGACCAGATGCGTAGTGCAAAGCAGTAAAACGGACCTCACTGGCTCGATCTGCTGGAAAAGGCAAAACCGCAGAAAAACGCCCAGGGTTCAGACCAGCCCCAAAGAGCCAAGGACCGAAGGGACACCCCCCCCCTTCAGCTGTCAAGGGGGTTTGACCGCCGAGTGGACAGTGCTTCAGATCCTGAGGTTCTGGGTTCGATCCCCTGTGGAGGCAGAAACAAATGGGTAGTTTATTTCACCCTGATGCCTCTGTTCACCTAGCAGTAAATAGCTACCTGGAAGTTAAGACAGCTACTACGTACTGCTTCCTGAGGGTGTGTAACAAAAAGTAAGACTAGTCGAGGACCGAGCCGCTGGGACGCTAAGCCACGAAATCATCTAAAGATAACCCACGGTTGAGACAATGAACCACGGGGAAGCAGTCCGAATGGAGCCGGATCACCGAGCCCCAAGGAAGCCGAATCCGGTGCAGTGCCTGTCACACTGCCGCAAACTCCTGCACCGTGCTGTGAGCTGACATAAGGACAGCCCCCACCCCAAATGACCCTGGCCAGACTGGTGGTCACCGGCCACAAAGCCCCAACCGAGAGAGGAGTCCACGAATACATCGAGGTTGGGAAGAGGAAGGCACCATTGGAAGCCAGCAATGCAACATCCAACAAGGACACACAGGATCAAACCCAGCGATCGCGAGAGCGGCAAAAGAGGCTGCCCTGAAGATACCAAAACGGCCTCCAAAGCCAAATCCTGCCCAGAGGGAAAACCAGCAAGGCAAAGTTCAGGCTCCCGCACAACTGCTCGAGCAACCGCTGAATAATAGAGGTCCTCCTCAAAAACAGCTTAAGGCAGGACTTCCGCCAGAGCAGAGCTACAGAAGGGATAGAAAGGGTCGCAGTCCGAGACTCCCATACTAGGCCCAGCCAAGTTCGAACCTGGGACAAAACCAACTGGGACTTCCGCCAGTTTACTAGGAACCCGAACCTGGCCAGTCGGGAACGTACCAGACCCCTGGCTAACAGACTAGCAAACTAGCTGGGAGCCCACACCAACCAGTCGTTGAGGTAGGCCAAAACCCGAATACCTAGCAGACACAGATGGGCCACCACAACCAGAGCTAAGCACAAAAAATGAGGTGCCAGATGCAAGTCGATGGGAAGTTGACATAAGCAATAAGTCTATCATCCGACCTTAGAAAGGGAAAATCATTCAAGCACCTGGCTCGAGGACGAGCCGGACCTGGGACAACATGGTCATATGAAAACGGCAAGGAATCAACCTGTTCAGACGAGACAAGTCCAGAATGTACTGGAGATCAGAAACGGGCAGAAAACTCACTTGAGAGGAGGTCTTTTCGACCACGGCCAAGTGAAGTCACTTTGAGATGATGCAACAGAGGGACGGGGAAGAAGCATGCCCCCCCCCCAGACCCAATCCTCCGATGAGGGGGAAAAGGGCCGCCCAATGCCACTAAAGACCAGAAGAAAACCTCAAAAGCCCATGAATTGCGGGATCAAAAGAGCAAAAAGAGCCAGCCTCCTTCCCTCCCCAATGGGGCGACCCGCGAAACAGCAGACACGATCCCCGAGAAGCCAACCGCTGCACAGAGTGAATTCCGCACCCACCAGATGATAAAGGCCTCAGGGAACCCACTGACGAAGAACTGGCACCAAAGGCCTATCCAAACCAACAGAGGCCTGAGCCCTGGGATGACCCAACTGAGAGGACTGGGAACAATTCCCCCCAGAATACCAAGAAGTCCGAAAAAGGATGGAACTGGCCGAAGCCGCCACCAGAAACTGGGGCAACGACATCCTCCGAGAACAGCAGTGAACAGAATGGGCCCAAACTGAAGCCAAAGACAGAGCCAGCACAGGCTGCCTACATACAAGGCAAGAGGAGAACATGGAAACTACCTCTCGGAGGATCAGCGCAAACAGCTTCAGCAAAGCAGACAATGCTGCAGCAGCCTAAACCAGAACCCCAGCCCTAGGCCCCTCACTCAATGCCTCCACATCCTCCAAAAGACAGTTCGTGGACAGCTCCAGAAGACCGAAGAAGTGTAAGACCGAGGCTAAATGACCCCAAGTCCAAAGATCCTAAGTGGCTAAGGCAGCAGAATGAGTGGGAACCTGAGCATGCAACTCCACCAGACTCACATCACAAGGAAGTGCAGGGGTGAAGAATGAGTTAACTCATTCGGGAACTCTAGCATGCCCCCTCAAGAATACCTGCAACACCGAAGAAACCTCCTGCCATTCAAGCATGCGGGTACGACAAAAGTCACACAAGCTCCAATTGAGAAAAAGGGGCAGTCTGTCAGCCAGGAAGATGCTGGAACCTCATAACGCACCCAATATGGGGAAGAAGAACTGAACTCAAACGAAGCCAGATCCATCACAGAGGCGTAAAACAAGTCTCGCAAGAGGTATGTGCCAAGGGCCTCCTGAACCTCCATGGGAAATCAGAAGAAGGAAACCTCCGGAAGAAAGAAGCCAAGGAACCCAAAGGCACCCAGGAGGATTGGGGTGTACCCAACTCTTATTCATACAGGGAAGGAGGGTATGAAAACTCCCTTGTAGAAACAATCCCTGCTCAGAAGGCACAAGAGCCCAAGCAGGGTCAAAAGGAGCCCAAGCACTTCAAGCAGATTCCCACTGAGCTCCGGGAACCCCCCCCGACACATGTCCCAGGGAAGAGCCCTCTTCCACACCCACCACCCCTGAAGAAAAGGTAAGAGTCCTGGGGAAAAGCTTCCGAGAAGGGAGTTGACTGGGTCAACCCAGAAGCCTCTGTGGGAAATTGGGCTCAACCACCACCATGCCCAAATTGGAAGGGGCAGCCCCCAAAGCCACCCGAGCCTCATCCCCACCACAACTCGGAAACCCTCAGATGTTTAAAAGCCGGAAGCAGGGGAAAGAGGAGCAGGGCGAACCACACCCACCTGGGAACAAAGCGGAGGCACGGATGGAACCAAGGTCGAAGTGATCAATGCCCCTAAAATTCTGATCCCTAAATCCCAAGCAGGGCAGCTCTAGGGTCTCCAATTGGATACATGAAGGCTGCTGGCTTCATGTACCATGCCTCCGGGGCCTCCAACCTGGCACGTTGCAAAAGAATCGAGCATGCAATGCAGCCATCGCCAGATTCCCTGAGATCAACAGACAAGGAATGAGTAAATTGAAGCACAAGCGGGGAACAAGGCCTGCAAGACTCCGGGTTGTAGGTGTCACCGACCCTACAGACAGCATGACGGAGGCAGTACGTATGATCGTCACCACGGGGCAAGGCCGACGAGCAACCTTCAACTTCACACAAGGCAAGAGTGGACTCTGAAGAAGTATCCATGGTACCACTGAGCCCAAAGGGTAAATTAGCTCTATGGGAAGCCCAGACACGGGGGCCAGCTAAGCCAGTAGAATCCCTGTCTAGTAGCAGGCAAACTGACTACCAGGAACAGCCGTGAACCCTCGGGGGCAACAGGACTACCACTAT